CTGAATTCACCAATTCTAGCACTTACAAGGCTCAGGATTTCTTATTGAAGGGATAATCGGTGACCCTGAGTGACTTTGTTTAGTTGGCTGTTATAGCCCAAAGCATCCTACTTGGTATAAAATACTTTTTGCTTCCTGTGAAGATCCCTGACTCCCCTTTAGAGCATTTGCCCAGACTTGGGGTAGATTTTGGGAATGCCTTTGCAGGACCCTGTGTACTAGTACTCCTCCCAAGAGAGCATGTTACATACTGTGACTAAAAGTGCCCAGAAAAAAACATTCCGTCTACAGACTGGACTTTCTCCTGCAAGGCTGGTAATAGATTAGAATTTCAATGAGTGTGGAGAGTTTGGAATGTTGCAGATCTAGAGCCTAATTACCATTTATCTCAGGCCATCTGTAGCCCCCTAAACAGCTACTCCTTGCCCTTCTCTGTTTCTGATCTAACATCCTGTGTCTAACAGATAAAAACCTTTTAGAATGTATTATCCTAGCAGACCACTAGGGTCTCACCAATCAAAAAGCTAAGACTGTCATCACATAGATTCTGAGACCTGTAGTAGAACATCCCCCCCTCCATCCCCCCATACCCACCCCCATACCCACCCCCGCTTTGCTATGCCCCACCTAATGAATGTATCTACCAATGTATTTGAAGTGTCTTGATTTATGATTTTTCTATGTTCCGTTACTATAAAAATGTAATGTAACTGTTACCACTGCAGAACATGGCATTTTGGGAAATCTGAATCTGTTCCCAGCCATGGTCACTTATATTTGGCTCCAAAATAAACTATCTCTTATCCCCTTTGAGGTGAGAGTTATGCTTTTGCAAATGAACCAAAGTTTGCAGAAAAACTGTGATAGGTAAATCAAGCCAAAATCAGGAGAAAGCACCAGGACACAGATAAGGACTCTGGCAGGATAGAGTTTATTGGCAAGGAAAATGCATGGGACAGTCCTCAGTTTGGGATAGAGGAGCTGACAGTTTACAGGCTGTTGGTTGGGGGTTTTTATGGGGGTTTGGGGGGATGTGGAAAGTGGGAAGTTAGGCAAGAGAGAGAAAGCCCAGGGCTTATCAGGAAAGACTATCCTCTGTCAAACTACCCCCTTCCATCGACCAGGATCATGGGATAAGGGGTCTGTTTATCTTCTAAGATTATCAAAGGGGAAACACACAGTGCTGAAACAGCTCTTGTAGTAATCTGGTCTCAGGTCAAAGGTGTAAAGAGTCTGTTTATCTTGTCTGCAGATGGTCAGGGTGCTCATTAACTCAGTTCCTATATTTTCAGAGGGCTTATAAAACCATGAGGTCCTGTTGCACTGGAGAGAGGGTTGCTGCAGATCTGAACCCTAACAAACTGCATCTTGGAACTGAACCTTCTGTGAAGCTTGATGTGGTTAGAACTTCAGTGATTGTGGAGAGTTTGGAGTGATGCAGGTCCGGAGCCTAATTATCTTGAACCATCTTTAGCCCCTTAACTAGCCACTCTTTGCCCATCTCTGTTTCTGATTTAATATGCTGTGACTAACAGATAAAAACCTTTTGGAATATAATTTAGCAGACCACCAGCTTCTACCAACCAAAAGGCCACCAGAGAGCATCTGAAGCCTATAGCTGAGATTTCTCTTTTATCTGCGTACTTAATGCTTCCACCAATGTACTTGAAGTGTCTTCATTTACGACTTTTCTTTGTTCTGTTACTATAAAAACTTCATGAAACTGTTACCACGCTGGAACATGGAATTTGGGGGTAACCTGAATCTGTGTTCCCTGGCTATGGTCACTCCTATCTGGCTCCAGAATAAACTCTTATCCCCTTTGAGGTGAAAACTATGCTTTTTCTTCAACACACCCCTAAAGCATCCTCTTAGAGACATGGCATACCACACCATGATTTGTGTTTATAGCCGCAGGGCAGGCGGGGAGGATGTTTTAACTAAGGGCTATTAACACCCCTCAAAAGTTGTTTTTCCATTGTTTGGGCTTCAATTTCCAGGGAAACAAGAAACATACTTAAACCCCTGAGTCACTCCGACTCACATGACCTGGAGTCCACTGTACTCATTCAAATACTGAATTCTTTGCCCAGAGGTGTTCTTGATGTTTGAGAACTCTCTCCCAGTTTCAGCATCAAAATGTTAGGAATTAGGAGTTGAAAGAGTCACAGGCAGGAAAGAAAAAGCAACCAACCTCAGATAATCCACCATGACCTTTTGTTAGTCAATGATGGGTGACCTGACCAGTGGGAGTCTGTAGAAGCCATACTGGGCACACAGCAGGGGTCTTAAGTACTTTTCTGTCTGTAAACAGAATCATGGAGGTTGGGTAGAGGATCTAAGGCCTACATTTCCAGGTAAAGGCCTGCATTTCCAGATAATGGCCTGAATTTCTGGATAAAAGTCTCCAGGAGGACTATGGGAAAAGATTCGAGGTCTGTATTCTTTCCCCAGTAGGGGATCTCAGAAGGTCTTGTTTGCAGAACTTTATGGTTGGTTATGGAGGGATTGCAGACAGGCTTGTTTGCAAAGCAAGAATTGCTTTATAGTTTGTGGCTGATAGAAGTCTCTCTTCACTGGGTCTACCATTTTTTGAGCATGGATGCATCCTAACTAATGTGCCTGCTTCTACATGTGATAACCAGTCTTTGCTATATGGATGTGTATAATTTCCCCTTAATAGAAGCCCCTTGCTTTCTTAATCTGAGAAGCACTGTTTTGAGAATGATCTCCAGTGTGCTCTTACTTGCTACAAGTAATAGGCCTTTGCCCACTCTTTAGTCTGTCTCCTGGGTTTACATACCACCTTTGTACTCACCAATCAACAAACCTGTTATGCTCAGTAGCAGAAGAACTTGAATAAGCAAATGTATTTTCTCAATGGTCAAAACCTTCATATTTCCCATTAACCCTTCATGAGTTGGGCCTTCTGTTCAGGAGTGGCTGTGTAGCTTAGTAAGACAGGACAACAGGTAGGAAAACTTAAAAAAGCATGAGAAGAAAAGAAGTCCCTCATCCCAGCATCTAGTTTGCATTTCCTGCTGGCCGAGTCAAGAAAAACTTCCACACAACTGATAAAATCCAAACTACCTGCAGAGATAGTGCTTATCTTCGTAAAGACACCTCAAAGGAAGAAAGGGCATTAAAAACAACGAACTGCTTACTTAGGGCAGAATGCTTGTGGCCTTGTGCTTAACTGTGTTAAGCATTCCTCCTTCCTCCTAAGTCTAAACAATGCACCTCATAGAAACCACCTTACAATGTCATTTTCAAAAGGAAATTCTTTAAAAGAAGAGAAATATGGGATGAAACAGACAGGTCTGAGACAAAGATCTGTTAGTTCTTCACCATGCCCCCCCAACTCCCAGCCAGCAGGACCCCTTTCCCCAGGACTGACCAATCAGGCAATCAGGACCAGTATAGATAAAACCAAGGCTGAACCAGACTTATGTCACTCAGCTTGGAGCTGTGATCTATGGGCTCGCTCTCTGCTCTTCCGTGTCAACCAATACAAAATTAGGAGAGGGAGCCTGTCCCTTACCATCAAGAACACAAAAGGCCCAAGCCTTCCTAGGAGCTTTGGGTTTATCAGTTTCCAAGTCCCTGCGTCACCTGTGGAGTCTCTCTCTCTCTCTCTCTCTCTCTCTCTCTCTCTCTCTCTCTCTCTCTCCACTTGTAATAAAGTTTGCTTTCTGCTGTGCCAAGATATTCTCTGCCCTTTAATTATTTAATTGGTGGAGAAAATGAACCCAATCAAGTAAGGATTGCTTCCTTTGTTTAAAAAAAAAAAATCAGACATCAAGTGGAACTGGTGTTGACTCGCCACAACAAAGCATGCCCCAAGATAATGGATTTTACCAAAACCCTCACCTTTGCCTGGGAAGACAGGCCTCCATCTGAAGTTATTTGAAGTTGCATTTGAGTTGTGAACTTGGTTAAAGAGATACGTACATTAGAGGTGACGAAAGCAACACATAAGTGGAAAAGTTGTGCCATCGTCATAAGTTCAGCTAAGGGCCTGGGGCTTTCCAATTATGCCACTTGCTGGCTATGAAATTTGGGCCTGGTTACTTCCCTTCTTGGCACCACAGTCTTCTCAAGAGTGAAATGGGAGCCTGAGGAGCCTTCCTCACTGTATACCTGAGAGGTTTAGAGCAACTGATATCTGTAAAGCCTGCAGAGGTGTGAGCAGGCAGCCAAAGCACAAGCTCACTTCAGGGCCAGAGCAGTCCAGCCGGGGACACTAAGGTTGGCAGTGAGCTGAAACCTCCACTACTAGGAGCACCGACTGCAGAGAACACAGAAACCAGCTCTGGACAAAAGCTCAGGCCATTGAGGCCAATCAAAGTCTCACTGGTGAGAAGCCAGAAGCCTTTTGGAAGACCCCAGAGAATTCCTGAGGCTCTGATACCCACGGTCTGTCCATAGACTCTCCAGCACTGACAGACAAATAGATGGAATTAGCCCCCCTGGCCTAACATTCCTCCCACTTTACAGTTTCTGAATTTTCATGTGAATGGTAAGAAAGCAGTGGCAGACAAGGAGAGAGGATGTGAAAGGGGCACCCCAATCTTCACCTTCTAGGGAGCTCCCTTCCCCAGTCTCCTACTGCATGAATGGCTCTGAGCAGCTGCTTGCCTAAACTAGACAATGCCCAGCCTTGTTGGGTCTCCGGGACCCTCATAATTGTGGCATAACTTATGACGAGGCCTATTGTAACTTCCTGAGCCTGACTAAAGTTTGGCAACCTGTCTCTGGCCAGTCACTTCCTCATGGAGGTGACTCAGCAGGGCCCAACCTTGGACTGCCTCTCCCCAATCACAGCTGGCGTGGCCAATTCCCAGTGGCTCACAGCCATTGCCCCAGATGACATACACCTTTGCCCTTCCCTTTTCCACACCCCTTTTTGATTAAACTATATAAGGTAATGCCTGATGCAATAAAGTGAGTTCCTGCCTTGACAAGACTCCCGACTCGGTGTGGTTTTTGAGTCACCAACACTCACCATCCCGCTCAGCCCCTGAGAGAGGAACACAGGCTGGTCCTGGCCTCTCTCCCTGTGCCATACCTGTCGGAGAGCTGTCTGACAAATTGGTGCCCCGTGTGAGGCACTGCCTATCACGAAGTTCACTGACGGGCCAATCGGTCTGCGGGTGAGTGTACTCCCATAAATTATGGGGAAGTCCAATTCTAAGCCAGACCCCTCTTTAGATTCCCTCAGGATCCTGCTCAAAAGCAGGGACCTTGACCTCTCAGACAGCCAAGCTCTCCAGGCATGGGGATGCTTGCTAAAGATCGCACCCTGGCTTCCGGAGAGCAATCTCTTTGATTGGGATACTTGGGATAGAGTTGAAAAGTTAATCAGATGGGCCCAGATAGAAAAGGGAGAGATTCCCCCCTCTGGGAGCACTCCCCATGGTATCTGCCTGAAAGGGCTGCTTTCCCCAACACCCACCAAGGACAAAGGTGGTGGAGGCCCAGGCTCCAACCCCGGCCAAGGCCGCTGATTCAGTCCCTGAGGCGCAGTCAGACTCCAAGCTGGATCCCCGGCCCTTGGGTCACAAAGATCCTCCAGATCGATCTAAACATCTGTATCCCTCCCTAGACCCTTTTGGGAGTGCCCCTTGGCCCTGTAAAGCCCCTCTGCCTTCACAAACACAGACCAATCCATTCCGGACTCCCTCTGTTCCACCCCCTTACAAGGGGGGTGGGGTCATTGAGGAGGGGACTGCTCACCTTTTCCCTGTTAATGTTAACCCAGGAGGTGACAGACCCACCGCATGGTATCCATGGCAGGCTCAGGACCTTAAAGAGTTAAAGAAGGCCATGGTCGAAGACGGTCCCAATTCTCCCTGGGCAGAAACTATTCTTGAGGGACTAGCCCATCAGGCGTGTGTGCCACGGGACTGGAAAGATTTAGTTAAAGCAGTGCTCCCAGGTCCAATGGTCCTTAAGTGGCTGGCCTATTTCAGTGAAGAATGTTGCATCCGCCACGTAGAGAACCAAAGGGCCCAGCCTCCCATACCCATTACTTATGGCATGCTCTCTGGCACAGCTGATCAGTTTGCTACTGGGGCCCAACAGGCAGCCATCCCTCCTCCCTATCAGGATCAGGTTCGGGCCATCGGCCTTACGTCTTGGGGAAAGCTAGGTGAAGGCCCTACTGAGTCTCCCATATCCAGGGTTACTCAAAAGGCCACAGAGGACCTCCCCACCTTTATAGACAGAGTGCAAAAGAGCCTGCAAAGAAAGTTTCCCCCAGGGGAATTGAGCGACCTGTTCATCCAGTTGCTGGTTTGGGATGGTATGACATCTGACTATAGACTAGCTTGTGCTGGGCTGCGACATCAACCCATGGATAAGTGGATAGTAGCTGCCCGGGACATGGAAACCAGGAGGGACTACAGACCCTTATCAATGCCCTAAACTTAGGGTAAATCCAATATACCTCTATCATCTTAGAGGCCACCAAAATTTGCCTGGATTTCTGACAGAAGGAAATAAAATAGCTGATCAACTGGCCTCTTCACATCAGTGTCACACAGTCTCTGAGGTGACCCAATTTCATCAATTGACCCATGTTAGTTGGAGAGGGCTTAGACATGAATATCCCCACTTGGCAGTCAAAGACCTAAAGAAAATTATACACACCTGTCGATCTTGCCAACCTTTTCTTCAGGTCCCCCCTCTTCAAAATTTGGGTACCAACCCTAGAGGCCTTCAGCCTAACAATCTCTGGCAGATTGATGTCACTCACTATGCCCCTTTTGGAAAACTTAAGTATATCTTCCTGTCAGTTGATTCCTTCTCGCGTGCCTGCTGGGCAACAGCATACTCCGGGAAAAAGGCCAAACCTGCAATCAGCCATATGCTTCAATGTTTCGCCACCCTTGGACTACCTGATCAAATTAAAACAGATAATGGCCCATGCTTTATAAGCAAGCCCTTCTCAGAGTTCCTTCAAACGTGGAAGATTTCACACTCCACGGTATTCCTTTTAACCCTAGGGGACAAACCATTGTGGAGAGAGCCAATCAAACCCTAAAAATCCAATTACAAAAACAAAAGGGGGAGTCCCTGCCTCCACATGATCACCTAAAAAAGGCCTTATTTACCTTAAATATTCTAAATTTTTCTAAAGAGGACAAGTATTTGTCTCCTTTCCAAAAACATTGGTCCTCATCTACCAGCTACAGCTCCATTCTGTTCAAATGGAGAGACCCGCTCTCTGGAGCATGGGGAGTACCAGACCCACTTCTTACAGCGGGAAGAGGGTTTGGGTGTGTATTCCCTCAAAATGAAAAGAGACCCCTCTGGGTACCGGCGAGGGATATTAAATATTTGCCCCAACAAGGAGGCCATGATGATAACCCGTCCAGGGAGTGTTTCAGCCCTGAGGATGGCTCCTCTGTTTCTCCCTCAGGGACAATAAAGGATGTGGATGGTGTTACTCCTGACACTTCTGATTCCCATCCCGCCCAGTGATCAAGGATTTGGAGACCCCAATGCTGCAGTAAGGCGACTGGAGGCCCAATATGGAAAGCCCTGAAAAGTGCTGCTTTTATGCCAATAGATCCAGGATTGTCCAAGATAAGATTTAAAAAACTCCAAGAAGATTTAGAAAAAAGGAGGTGAGAGTTTCAAGAAAACCCACCCTGGACCGGTTTACATGGCTTTTTACCCTACCTCCTCCCTCTACTTGGCCCCCTTCTTACACTTCTCCTTGTCCTTATTTTCAGACCCTGTATATTCAATAAGTTCATGGGGTTTGTTCATCAGAGAATAGAGGCAATCAAATTACATCAAGTCAAGGTGCATTTTCACAGGCTCGCTAGTCAGGAGCCAAGCTCCCATGATTGGCCATCTTCATATGATTGCCCATCCCCTGCCCTCCATGTGGCCAATGACGGGTAAGACCCTCCCAGGCTGATGAACCTAAGACAGGGGCCATGAAAAACAATCATGGTTACCCAAGGACTGGCAACTTCAGTATCTGAGGAGAGGCAACCTAAGACAGAGCATGGAGAGGCACCTTGGAGGATGAGATTCATAACACCCAGTGATGGGTTAGATCTCCACGGGGGAGACAACCTAAGACAGGGGTTGTGTTTCTCCACCGTTACAACAAAAGTAAAAGGGGGAAGATGTTGGCTCTCCGGGACCCTCATAATTGTGGCATAACTTATGACGAGGCCTACTGTAACTTCCTGAGCCTGACTAAAGTTTGGCAACCTGTCTCTGGCCAGTCACTTCCTCATGGAGGTGACACAGCAGGGCCCGACCTTGGACTGCCTCTCCCCAATCACAGCTGGCGTGGCCAATTCCCAGTGGCTCACAGCCATTGCCCCAGATGACATACACCTTTGCCCTTCCCTTTTCCACACCCCTTTTTGATTAAACTATATAAGGTAATGCCTGACGCAATAAAGTGAGTTCCTGCCTTGACAAGACTCCCGACTCGGTGTGGTTTTTGAGTTGCCAACACTCACCATCCCACTCAGCCCCTAAAAGAGGAACACAGGCTGGTCCTGGCCTCTCTCCCTGTGCCATACCTGTCAGAGAGTGGTCCAACATGGCCTGATTGACATTCAGATGGGAAGAGAAACAGAAAATGTGTGGTGAGAGGACAGAGGCTGCTGGAACTTGCTTGCTGAAGCAACAGGTCACACACATACATATAGGGACACACATGTACACAGGGTCTGCACAGGAGCACTCATGCTTAGATTTGCCCACACAAAGTAACATTTTCATTAATACATATGTATACATACTCTTGTGCATACCTGCACATATGTGTGTCCACATATAGATATGGAAGCATAGATGAACAACTATGCACATGAACATGTGCACAGCCATGTATTTGCATTTACACACAGGTACACATGGCACAGAGATGTGCCAAGGTACTTGCATGAATGCACACACATATTCAAGCTCAAACAGTTAGTTGCACACAAACTGGCATGTTATGCATGCACATTCACACTTACATATATGCTCACATAGGTACACAGAGACACCCATACAAACACTCATACACAAGTACACAGGTATACATGGACATAGGCATGGTCATGAATGCACATACAAGCACAGGCACACACAGGTGCATAGACACAACTCACACAGAAGCAGCTACAACTTGCCACTGAGTGGTGCTACAGGCAGAGGCAGCAGAAATGTATGCTTTGGGTCATCATCTTCATCTGATGGTGACAGCCCAGATCAGCGTTCTGGAAGCCGACTTTCTGTCCAGCACTTCTCCGCTGTCTCCTAGGGTTTGAAACATGGAGAACTGATAGCCATAAAAGGCTGTTAAGAATCCAGAAATAAGCTCTCTGGGTTAGGGGTAAAGCAGTCCTGAGTTTAAGGGGTTTGTAGAGTTTACTTATTCCCATGATGTATATATCCATGGCTGAGTTCAAGCTTCCAGCGTGAAGTCACTAAAAACAGAGTTAGGAAAAGGCACTAACAAGCAGCTCTTGTAGACAAGGCCAGTCACTCAGGTACTAAGGAACCATGTGTCATATGTATTGAAGGAATGGTTTTCCAAATCAGAATGCCATGATGCCAGAAGTCATCAAGAAACAGAGATGCTACACCATCTCATTTACTAGTTAATGCTTACTTGCTCAATGGACAGAACTTATCCAGTAAACCAGAACAGTAGGGAGGAAAAGGTCTCTCTGACTTTCGGCACAGTGTGCCTCAAACACATGCACCAAGTTTTCCACATGGTGTTGGGATGAGTCAGGAGTACCTGGAATGTAGAGCATGGCTGCCAGGCCAGAGACCTTCTAGTGAGGACAGCAGGAAACTGGCATGCTCCATTCTAGATACACTGTCTCTTACTCAACAGCCCCAAGCAAAACTATTAGATCTCTAATCCTTTAATCCTAACCAGGTCTCTTGTAGATCATGTGACCAGAGGACAAGGCAAAGGCCATGTAACCTCAAAAGCCCACCAGAAAACCAACCCCACCTCTTTGCCCATGAAACTTTCCTATATAAACCTCTGCTTCCACCATAATAAACAAGCTGTCCACTGACACAGTCTCCCGGGTGATTCTTCTCATTGTACCACCACCACCCAAGGCCCCTCTCACCCCACTGCTTTCTCTCCTTGCCCCAACTTTCTGGGATGGGGCTGGTGCACAACAGTCTTCCAGTAGCAGGGGAGTTTGGGCCAAGGGGGACGACATGCGGAAATTGACAAAATGTCAAATGGCACCGTGTAGGCTCTGGGAGACACCCATGTTGATGAGATTTGCATTTGCTTTGTTTGGGTTTTGTTCATAATGACTGAACAGCTTTATATCACACCAAATTTAGGGAAAAAGAAGCTCTTACTAGAAATGTGCCTCAATCTACAAAAGACAAATGTGGAAAGACTCTCCACCTGACATGCATGCAGTTTTGCAGATTGATGACCACCTGAGCCCTCAGGAATGGCCAGAGGAGTGGGCAGGAGCAAATGCCCCCACCTAAAAAATTGGCCCAGATCTTCTGCAAGCCACAGCCTTGCGCTGTTGTTCTGCACAATCCTCATGAAACAACTTCTTTTCATGCCTCTACATCTGCTGAATTGTTTGCAGCTCATGCTATTAGGCTTTCTGGATGTAAACCTGAGATGGTTCCCGATGTAAACAGAGAGAGAGCTCTGGTTACAGTCCATTTGAAAAACTGCACGCTGGAATAAGGGAATAGAAAAACACATTCTGTATTTATCCAAAAGCAATGAAGCCTTAAATAATACTTAAGATTGTGTTCTGAAGGGAGGCAAAATCCTCAGTTCCAATATAAACTACACAACTGGTTGTCTCTATATCATTAGCAAAGTGCCCAGCCATATGAACTAAATATACTCCAGATAGCCAGGATCCTTTACAGAGGAGCAGTCAGATCACAAGCAAAGGAGAGATTAAAAACAGAGCAGGCCACCCTGCACTGACCCTCAAGCAGAAGACTATGACCCTAATAGACATATGAGTCTAACCTCACTGTCACACAGCAGATTGTTAAAGAAGCAGCTGAACCATCCAAGGCTGCATTTAGGACTCCTAGGCATCTTTCCAACCACAGATGAACATGTAAACCCTGGTTTATAAGAAGAAAGGATTCAAAATCTCTGGGTGTGACCACTTAAGTAAGTATCATACCCAAGCCTCGTTCATATAACCCACAAATAAACAGGAAAGGGGAAGCAAGGAGCTCATTCCTTTGCACTTGAGCAGACCAAGTTTCACAGACCACCATCCCCAAGGTCTCCCTAAAGGGGAAACCAGGTCTATGGAAGGTGAGGTTCCACTCACATCCCCATAGCTGGGAGATACAGGAGTCAGAATCCAACCTGAATGGCATGGCTCAAGATGGGCCATCTTTCCACATCAGGAGTGTGTACTGATGTCATGCTATCAGAAACACTCTTTCTCTGTTTCCTTAGGAATACTGTCTCCATCATGGCTTCCAAAGATACAAGCATTCCATTTTATATACATTCTAAAACCCTGTGCATTGAACAAAATGAAGTGAATCTGCTTTTCCACATATCAAGATATTACAGTGGGAAAACAGGACTGGAGCTAAACAGATGTGACCTTGCCAGAGTGCTGAGACAGGGGTATCCTGGGGCCCTGAGTTGAGTATCATCTCTGTACAGAGAATCTCAGGTGCTTTCTCTTAGTTTCAATACAAGTTACATCATTTCTCTCTTACATTCATTGGTTCACAGTGCTACCCTGGTCCAGGGAATACAAGTATAAACTGCTTTGTGGAGATGACACATTGTCAACTTTCCATCTCTGTAGCAAAAGACCTCTGAAAATCAATTTCAACTGAGAGACGATTTAGTTTGTCTCATGATTTCAGTTCACAGTTGCTTAGCTTCTTTGTTTCTGACCATTGTAAGACAGAGCATTATGGTGGGGCACATGTGGATCAAAGCTGCTCACCTTCAGGTAGCCAGGAAGCATGGACAGGGGAAAGGACAGAAAAAACTTGTATTTGTGACTTTTCTCATCACTGTGTCAAAAACAGGAGAATTTATCTTGACTCATGGTTCCAGAGGACTCAATCACAATCACCCCATGAACTTGGGGATCACAGTGGCAGGGCTATGCAGCACAGAGGAATTTCTTTATCCAGTGGAGAACAAGAAGCATAACAGAAACAGGAAGGGGCCAAAGCACTCCAGCCACCCCCCTCCTGCAGTGACCTACTTCCTATAATCAGGTCAACAATTGCCATCAGATTATGAATAGACCAATCCACTAATGAGGCCAGAGCCTTCATGAACCAATCACTTCCCAGAAGCCATCAGTTGACAATGGAGCTTAAATCAGCATGTGACTTTTGGGGGTATTTTATATAAAAATCATAGCAAGCGGAGACTTTAAGATGGGACCTTGAAGAATGAATACCTCACCAAAGGAAGAAGGCAGGAAGGTGAGGGAGGGATGGAAAGAAGACATCCTAGACTTTCTTCTTTTCCCACAGGGTCTGGTTTATCCTGGTATGGTGGCCTTACTCATGGAGCCCCATGGCAGTCTTGTTTATCTACACTGGAGCTGATAACAGGTATCATCATAGGTAACAGGCATCAACATTGAAATTTTTCAGTAAGATGAGCCAGGTGTAGCCTGGTATATGATAAAGGCTCATGGTTTTCTGCTATTTCTTTATTTCATAATACTAAAGTACATATTTTTTTCACATTTTGATGTTTCTGAGGCACATCTGACAGTCTGTGACATGCTACTATGCTGTCAAGTTATAATGGTACATTTCACAATGAATGAAGTCTTGATTTGCTAAAATGTGGTCCTGTCATTATCAGTACAATTATTACAAAAGATATCTGATCACAGGGTAGTAATGAAACAGCTTCCACACA